GGGGGGACCGGGCGGGAGGCCTCCCGCTTCGGGGCGGGGAGGGCAGGAGTGCCAGTAGGGCTCCGACAGCCGCCGTGTGCTGTCCCATGTCTTTGTCCAGTGGTGGGTCCGGGTGGGTGATGGCATGTGGGAAGCCCAGCTCAGCCACTGTGGCCCTTCTGTACCCCCACAGCCTGTCCTGCCGAGCTGAGGACGGACCCCAGCTCTGCTGACCCTCCTGGCTCTGCTGTCCCCTCTCTGCAACTGCTGCCACATCCACTGCCCCCTACACGCACGCTTGGCCTTTCCAGTGCTGCTGAATCGTGATCTGCAATAACATCTCCTCTCCTTTCCGCCTCACCAGGTCTGCAACGCTCTCTGATCCCAACTGTAAGATCCCACTCTTTCACTCCTAACAAAGTTGTCTAGTTTTGCTGTTAGCTGTTTTTCTTGAATGGGACTTTGCTGGGAGTACTTTACAGATGAGATTTTTCTTCTCACAGGTTGTGGAGATAATGTATCTCCTAGTGCTGACAAACATGAAACCTCTCAGTTACAGACTAAAGCCTGCCCTAACCCTGACACAGAGAAGAAAACATCTGTCACATTTAAACACGTTCCCGAATTCTCTGATAATGAGGCTAGCTTGCCAGACAGCTCGCAGGCAGAAAGCACACAGGCTAGCCAGGAAAACCTGTGCTGTGGAATCGTTAGGCCTGCCTCTGAGGAGAAAAAACCCCAAACCTCCAGAAGCTTGATGAAGCTGAGGAGGCGGACGAAGGCTCTGGTATCAGAGGAAAGGGAATCAGTGCATCTAATCAACACTGATGAAACAGTGAAAAAACAAATTGCCAGTCCAGGGGAACTTCGGTCACCAGTCTTCAGGCGAAGCAGTTTCTTGAACACTGAGGAAAACGCTCAAGGAACATCTAGACCAGCACTTGTGGGGAGAGAAGAAAACAGTTTCACTCCTTCCAGTGCAGTGTTAGGAGTTGTACAAGACATACTTGGAGACAGTGTCCCTACAGGAGTGCCTGAGCTTTTCCCGAGTGTGCTGAGGGACAGCAGCGATGTCTGGCAGCCTGAGTCCCCAGGTGCTGTGGCCACATCTGATAACCGCGAGCCTGCACGGCCATGTTCAGAGAGTGGTGACTCTGTTTTACTTGACAGCAGTGGTGATGGAGGAGAAGAATCTTCCAGCATAATAAAACAAACGGATGGTGAGAGTATGTGTGAAGATCAGGGAGAATTACACAGGTTCTTGGATTTGATGTCAGAAAATGAAGTATTGCCTCCTGGTGAAATTAACACTGTAACTAATGAGAGCAAAAGCTGTGAAGGAAATCAAAGGGACCCTAATAGCTTAAATCCCTTTCCTACAGATCTTGCTCTGGGCAATGTGGAAGAACTGTTGGAGAATCAACAGCTTGAAATTCAGTCAAGACTTTCTCATCGAGAAAAGGTGACAGCTCCTGAAAGTGCATTGAACTCTTGCACTGTGGTTGAAGGGCTTCTCTTTCCAGTTGAGTACTACGTCAGGACAACTCGACGCATGTCTAATTGCCAGAGGAAAGTGGATCTCGATGCTGTAATTCTCAGCCAGCTAGGCAGAAGCAAGAAAGGTCAGCGAAGTAAGTGTAAGCAGAAAGATGCAAATTCAGATCGGCCCTCTCAAGAAAGAGTTGAAAATGATTTCGAGTCAGGGGTCATGCCGTTCCCTTTTGCTGCAGAAAACAATCCAGCAAATTCAAGTAGCCCTCAGAAATCTCTTCCTGCATCCAGTGGTAGCAGCACGTCACTTGGATCGATTTCTCAAAACAGTATCTCTAGCACAAAGCAAGATCAGAGACAATTGCAGAGGAAACAAAAGGGAAGAAGAAAGTCTGCCTGCAAACCCTCTGTGCATCAGGTGTCACAGGAACTTATAGAGAGTTTGGATCTCATAACACCGAGGGAAAGCAGTAGTCTTCTGTCAAATGAGTGTCAGAGTGAAAAGGAAAACTGTGAGGCTAATCTTGAAAAATCATCTTCAGATGAGAGAAGGTTGTCTGCTGCTGCAGCTCTTGGGTCTGGAGAGACAGAAATGACTGGGGCTATGCAGTCAACAAGTGCTGATCCTCCTGGAGGCAGCCCAGTGCTTGACAAATGCCCTAAGACTCCGTTAGAACAGGTTCAAAATCCACTTCAGAACAATGATTCTCTGAACCCAGGAAATGAAACTTTTGCCAGCCATGTAGGAGATCTGGAAACCAACTTAAATGTGTGTCAGGCTGATAAACATCCAGTGGAGCATGTTAAGAATCAGCATGTGCAAGGAGACTGCGAGCAGCTCCTAGCAATTAATGTCCCTCTGCGCCGTTCCCTGCGTTCCTCTGCAAGACAGAGAGCCAGTCAAGTCTCAAAAGGTACTTCACCAAATACTAACACACCGTAAAACTAGAGCCTGAGAGCAAGGCAGGGAAATGTCCCAGTGAGCACATGCACTGCTGTTCATGCTCTGCCATATTTTTTTATTCAAGAAAATCTTATGTGGGTAAACTATTATTATTTTTTTTAAATTAGAGCTTTTTAAAAAATATAGATCATTGTGGTGCCCATGTTCCTTGCGCAATTCCAGAAACTTCTGCTTTAGCACGGTGATGGAGAATGAACAGCTGCGCAGGGATGAGGAGCAGGGCTGAGAGCTTACGCTGCCTTTGCTGGTAGAACAAATGTTGTGCACACTGGACCTGATTTTCCAGTAAATGGATGTAAATCTGTTTCTCCAACTGAGTCTGCATATTAATGATTTATTTTTTTTAGTGCTAACAAGTGTGATACACAAGGAGTAGCATAGTTTGAGTGTCTGTGAATACTGTAAAAAGAGAACATGTTGGGAGGAAAATAAACAAAACAAACTGACCAAACACGCAGTCAATTCTGGCAGTCTTTGGCAATGATATTTTTGCTGAAGGCTTGATGCAGAGCAATTGTGGAGTGTAATGTCTTTCCAGAAAAGTGCCACTTAGGCATATTAAGATGGATATGACTTTTTTGGGGTTTTTTTAATAGGGTGATAGTCTGGATGAGGGATTCTGAAAAGGCTAGTTGCTGGTTATTTTATGATGTGATGTTCTTGTATTGTGTTTTTCTTTGTCTAGCTGAAAGCAAAAGAGGGTGTAGCTATCCAGTGGGTTCAGAGGATCCTGCTTCTCTTGGCCTCCCTGCTGTGGACCCCGACACTTGCAGCTCTCTCTTCTCCTTTCGCAGTCCCCAGTGGCTGGCCCCCAGACTGGATATCAGAGACTTTCACTTACCAGATGAGGAATTTGGACTATTAAAACTTGAGAAATTAGAATCTTCCCCTGTGAATGATTTAGAAGTTTTTGTTCCTACTGCGTTTGGAGATGGTGCAGCTTCAGAAGATGCACAAGATGCAGAAATGAATCCAGAAGAAAAAATGGTGAAAAGTAATTTGATTTCACCTTTCAAAAATGGATTGCCCAAGTTGCCTTATGTAGAAAGCCCAGCTTCCAAGAAAGAACTTTCCACCCATGCATTGTTCTTTACTCCCATGGGGACTGTCTTAGCTGGTGCTCCCACTCAGCCCGAGTCTCAGATTTCCTCATATGTTTTCCCTGTTGTGGGTGCAACCCCAGCTGTTTTACCATCAGTGTGCAACGAGGTCTTCCCTAATACACCATCCATACCTCCCTCGCAAGCAAGCCTGCATTCCTCCAAAGGAGCATCTGCCCAGGTCGTGGATGACGGGGAATGCAAAGACTTTGCCATTCCACTGCGCTTGGACAGCTGTGGTGCAGGATCTGATAGAAAAGAGGAGGAACAAAGTACAATGTTTCATTCAGAAGCTGAAAGAGTTCTCCATAATAAACCTGATGAGGCTGCAGCGTTGGAGAAGCATCAGCAGTCGGAGAGCAAACAGCAGAGATCCTGCAGGGCTTCTCCTGAACAGGTAACAAGCTGCCCTCTTAGCCAAGGGTACTAAGCCAGTGGTTTTGTGGGTGAATCCCCTTTTCCAGGGTCTCACCTGACTTCAGGGGAAAGACCTCTTTGCATGCTAGCTCTGCATGCTGTTTTAAGAGCAAATTCTTTAAAATCCTATTTGATGAAACTGGAGATGTGGGTTTCAATGCTTATTGCAGGGTGCATGTTTGAAATGTGTATATGAACAAAAGGTTTCTGGTACTCACATAGCATTGGTCTACCTTAAGGGAAATATTCAGATAGGATTTGGTAAAGGAGATTAAATGACTTACATGTGGGCTGCGTACTGAGAGGAGGACTTGTCTCTGAAGGCTGAGAGATGCAGAGTGGTAGTAAAAGACAATTTTTGGGTGAAACCAGGAAATAACCTGGGATCTCTCGGGATCTGAGTCTGGGATCTCTTGTTTTTCAAAGACAGGCAAGTACAAAAAGAGGTGCTCCTACCATAGCTCTCTAAAAACTGCACGCAGAATGAATTCATGCTTCTGCCTCATTCTTGCAGGTGCTGAGTGTAATTTCAAAGTTGAATTATCCTCATTCTTTGCTTGTTTGTGCAGAAGAAAGACATAGCAGAACAGTTGACTCCGGCACTGCTTGATGGCCTGGGAGAAGAGAGCTTGCAGCTTGTATCAAAGCTAAAGGTGGGATAACATCAGATAATTGTTTACTGAGTCAGTAGCAGCTCTTTAATACTACGTTTAACAAAAATGCAATGAAAAATGCAGAATGGCTAGTTGAACAGAACAGATTGCTGTCTAATTTGATCGGAAGTCTTCACTTGTCGGAAAGCATGCCGAAAGGTTAGATTGCTGTGTATCTCCTTTTGACTGATAAAGGATTTCAGTGCTTGTTTCTGAATAATGAATGTCTAAACACATGCAAATGTCTTAACAAAGAGAACTACTGCATTTTTCTTCAGCCCCAGGTTAAATGATCTCAGCCTCTGTCGCCTGCCCTGTGGCTCTTGTGGCCTCCTGTCACCATTGCAGGCACTACCTACCCCAGTAAGGAACAGATTTTGGGGGGGACTATGGCACTGTGCCAAATAAACATGTTGATGTTCACACCCTTCTGGAATGGAGACTTGATTGCACGTGCAATGACCAAGGCAAATCTTTCCCAGGACTGTTTGCACAGCTGAGCCATGAACTCTTCCTCCTGCAGTGATGTCCTTCCACTGTCCTCTGTCTCATAGTGAGTAGGGAATGGTTGGCAGGCAAGGAAGCGACATCTGTGGGAAAGCCCAGTGAACTCCAAATGAGCTTGCTGGGGGCTGGGTCACCTCAAGCTCCAAATGAGCTTGCTGGGTCACCTCTAGCTTTTCCAAACCAAAGTGCAAAGTTTTGCACAAGAAGCAAGCCTGAGGGGTTAGCAGAACTAGCCAACAATAATGTGGCGGAAGCTGAAAACTTCTTTACGAGGGAGAAGAGAAGGCCCTTGCTTTTCTCAGTTTCAGACTCAGTCTGTGCTACTGCAAGTCCCCCTTCCCATTTGTGCAACAAGAAAAGCAAGTGCACAACTGCAGGTAGGTGGCACTCAGGCTTTGTTGTGGCTGTGCCATAGTACCCCCAGTCCTGTCCCAGCTCTGGGCTCTGCTGGGTCCCTGTCATTTCAAATTACAAGTGATTGTTGTGACGTGAACTGAGATATTTGCTGCTTTGAGGGTGAAACCTACCAGGCTTGTTTTCCTTGGTGCCTTACCGACACTTTGCTCAAAATTAAACTTCGTTAGCATTAAGTGTTAGCCTCAAATTCTCATCACACCGAATGTCAAGCATTTTTCTCAGGCTGAACCTCCAGGTTAGATAACTGTGTCTGTCAGAAGAAAACCAGTGCTGCTTTGTTTTGGACAGGATTCTTCAAGTTCCTGGGCTGTGGATGTGAGTACCATGTGGTGGGAAGCAGCTGGCTGCAGAGAGCTGTGTGTGGTGACTGCTTGTGAGAGTTCTGTCTCCTTGTGGAAACCTCTGGCATCTGACCGCTGGGGAAAAGTCTATACTTGGCAGGTTGGAGAGGTATGAACACAATCCTTATTTCTAGAATTTAGGGCAACTGTCTTGTCCCAATGTGTTAGTTTCCAAGATACAAGGAGCTTGCAGTCTTGGTTAAGTTCTTTAGGTGGCACAAATTTTTCATTCCATCAGGCAACAGCAGAGAATGATTTGCACTGCTGATGGAGAAGGCCGGTAGCTTCTATGGTTGCACGTTA